GGTCTCCACGCGCCTGACCTGTCCCTGTCTGCAGTGCTCCTGGACGCCCCCACAGGGCTGCAGGCGCGGCGGGCTGAGGAGGGCGGCCAAGTGATGCTTCGCTGGCTCCCACCGCCTGGGGCACCTATGACGACTCACATCCGCTACGAGGTGGACGTCTCTGCTGGCAGCAGCGCAGGGGGAGCGCAGAGAGTGAGGCCTGATCCTACTGTCCCTTCCCCAGGGCCTTGGCCCTGATGCCCCACGTTCTATTTCCTTCATGCCCGAGACAACGCCACACCCACTGGCACGTCCGTCTTGTCCACGTGGCCCCCATGCACCTGAACGTCAACCTACTCTACACGTCAGGCCCACACTCCGGGACCTGACTACCTCCCGCCCGCCTGACCCATCCTTATATAGTCCAGGGACCCTCTTCGCTTTGGGAGTCCTTGCTCTGATTGGCCATGAGCGTTCTTGGTTCCTGCTCCCTGTTCTCATTGGTCTCTGCCTGCTGTCCTTCCTCTCTCTGATTGGCTGGGCCCCTCCAGAGGCGTGCCTCTGACCGCCCCTCCTCTCGGCCGGTCCCCAGGTGGAGATCCTGGAGGGCCGCACCGAGTGCGCGCTCAGCAATCTGCGTGGTGCCACGCGCTACACCTTTGCGGTTCGCGCTCGAATGGCCGAGCCCAGCTTCAGCGGCTTCTGGAGCGCCTGGTCTGAGCCTGCGTCACTGCTGACGGCTAGCGGTGAGGCCCTAGGACGCGGGTAGGAGGAGCTGGGGCAGGACACCTGGTAAGCCCGCTGACCTGACCTCCCGCCCGCCCCCCAGACCTGGACCCCCTCATCCTGACGCTGTCCCTCATCCTCGTGCTCATCGTGCTGCTGCTGGCCGTGCTCGCCCTGCTGTCCCACCGACGGTGAGCCGCCCTGGAGCCTCCCTGTGCCCTCCACTTAGCAAACCTAGGCTCAGAGAGGGGCGAGCCCCTGCCCAAGGTCACACAGCGACGAGTCGTGCTTGGGGACTTGCACCTGGTTTCCCATCCACCTCAGGGGCTGCGCCTTCTTGGATCCACCCATTTTCCCAGTGCCTCCAACTCTGTTGAAACATTTAAGGGCTGGGGGTTCCCAGTCCCCCACAGTCGGGTGTTTTACGATCTAAGCTGTTTCGAGATGGGTGTCATTCCGAGCACATCCAGGGCGATCCACACCCCAGGCCTCTGCACGGACAGTTCCTTCTGCCTCGACCGCTAGGTGGTCTTGTCTCTCCCTTGAGGCCCTGCTCATTTACTTGATTGGAGAATACATATTGCGTGCCAGCTATGGCTGAGGCACTGGGAAGAGAGAGGAGAACAAAGTAGACCCTCCCCACGAGTCCCTGAGCTGGTGGATCTCAGTCAAATCAGGGAGACGGACAAGCAAAGCAAATAAGGAAACCAAGGGAGAACCGATTACAAATCGGAATGAGCGTTGTCATAGAAACAAACACGGGAGAAATGATGGGGGTAGTCCGGGAAGGCCTGTGGGAATCAGCAACCCTGGAGCGAAAGCCTGGAGGGAGGGAGGAAGCACCTGTGCAAAAATCAGGGACAAGAAACAGCAAGTGCAAAGGCCCTGGGGTGGAAATGAATTTGGGACACTGGAGCAGCTGCAAGAAGAGCCATTTGGTTACAACAGTGTGTAAGGAGGAAGTGGTGAATGATGACATGAAGATCTGCAGGGCTGTGGGGAGGAATTTAGATTTTGTTTATTTGCTTGTTTTGTGTTGGGGATCAAGCACAAAAGTGCTGAGCATGTGCTTTACCACTGAGCTATACCTCCAGCCCTAGATTTTATTCCAAATACATTGGGAACCATGGGAAGGAGTGATGAGGGAATTGACCCCATGGACCCCCAGGCAAAGCCTAGGCCAGGATTAGACAGAGCATGAGCGAGTATATTTTGAACTCCTATGCATCCTTCAAAACCCTGTTCTGGTTATCCTTCGGGAGGGCCTTGCTGTGCTTCAGGCAAAGCCCCTGCTCCCCGGACCATGATGTACTCCTCTACCTTCCCGATGTTTCTATCTGTGCCTCTGTGACTGGGTGCTGGGAGGGACTGGTGAATGAGTATTCAGCGGCTTGTGTCCCAGAGCTTCTTTCTGTGGATTTCGATAGGTCTCTGAAGCAGAAGATCTGGCCTGGAATCCCGAGCCCTGAGAGTGAGTTTGAGGGCCTCTTCACTACCCACAAGGGTAACTTTCAGGTAGGTAGCTTGGCTGTCCGGGGGGCGGGGGCCGTCCTGCTTCCGGCAGCAGAAGCCCAGGGCGGTGAGCTGGCTGCCGCTGTCCCCAGCTCTGGCTGTCGCAGCAAGACGGCTGTGTGTGGTGGAGCCCCTGCGCCCCCTTCCCGGAGGACCCGCCCGCCCGCCTGGAAGTTCTGTC